CCATTTAATGAAAATTCAAAATTTTCTCACCCTGTTGCAAACTATAAAATTATATGATATGATGTTTATCTGCCGCTTTGTCCAATCGATTTTTTTTCAGTTTTTAAAGAATTTCATAACAACAACAACAACAACAACAATGGAATAATGGAACAAATAAGTGAGGTCATATAACAATAATGCGGGCACAATGAACCAAAAATATGAAAACAGGAGGCAAATGCTAAACGCAATGACCTTGAAAGTAAGCACGATGAACGCTTAATGCCAAGCAAACAGTCGCTTTTCTGCCAAGGCTGCAAGCAAGCAAATAAATGCCGTGCAAGTTTTTCTGGCAAAATAATATGTGAATGAATTCTTTTGAGGAAAAGCGTAAAGAGAGAGCGAACGCAATTATTTTCGAACATTTCATTGATGAAACTACGAAGAAATTTTAAAAAACAAGTTAAAGAGGACGAACATGCGCTTTAGAAATTACCCCTATTCTCGAACTTCCCCATCGGCAAAATATTGTTGCATATTCAAGGTCGTAGTGCGAAATTTTCATTCATAAAATTTTCCTTCGCGTCTACAATAGACCGGCTTCGGGAAAGTACAGTGAATTTCAAGAGTTCAACCACCAAGCACAACTACACACCCGCGTGAACTTTGATTTCATTCATGAATTGATGCAGCGACAATACATCCCTTAAAGGTTTCTAGCTCCATTATATTTCACTGGCCGCCCTTTAATTCAAACCATTCCATTTATTTTGTTGCATTTAATGTCTGGCGCCTTCCGCTTTGAAAGTCAAGGTTGCTTTCGTACGAAACTTTTGCTTTTTCCTTTTTTTGTTATTTTTGATTCCGCTCTTCTCGCATTTGTAATTCTCAGAAATTTTCAACTTTTATTGAAAAGTTGTGTTTTCCTTTCCGAAGCTACCTCACGTTCCCACAAACTTTCCTACATGTACATGTACATACCATGCTGTAGAATTTGTAGAAATACTATATGAATGTATACCATTGCATGAATCCTACGCATTTTGTGCATCAAGTAAAGCGATTTTAAGCTGCTGCATAATACTGTTCTTTTCTAGGAATTTATTAATCCTCGCGTTTGCACAAAAAAGAGTAAGGAGAATATCCTACTGAAAGCTTGAAAAGGATTAGTTAAATCCTATCAAAATGTTATTTATTAGAAGCCAGTTTTGTTTCTAATCAAATGCAACAAAGATTGTTGGGTTAGTGCTAAGCAAGCCATAATTTATCGAGTTTTCCACTTAAACTGCGAGAAGAGTCCGTAACGTAACCGCTGCTGCGGCAGGTCCTAGCTGAATACGCAATCTGCATCTTAAGTCAAGCACTTCTCGTTTTCTCCATGGTTGACTTACCCTGGAAGTCGCGGTAGTGAAATGGCAGCTTGGTTGGCAGGAATGACAGAAGATTTATCATTACAAACCGATCAAGAATCAACAACATCTACCGGCAGAGATCTCCTCGTCTTTTCTTCTCTAAATTTGCATCACCATGAAAGTCGCGCCAGAGAAATAAAATCTTGATTGGAACCGGAACCGGAAATTGATAGCAGAATAGATTAGCCACAGGAAAACCAAACACCAAGGATATCTATCTAGAGAGACCTCCTTTTCTCCATATTTCAGCCGTGGCAGGAATCTGTCGCGTCGATAATATTGCCTCCGTCATTGCGTATCCTATAGCGCAGTAAATTATATAAGCAGCACTCTGGTTCCGTGGTCCCACGTACTTCGGGCATCAGTCTGTCAGTCTGCCAGACTGTGGACTCATTGCATAACCGCCTGCTTGATCAAAAAAGAACCTGCCTATCATTGACGAGAAGGTTAACATACATGTGAGAGCGTATTGCAGATCTGTGCGACGCTCTCGGCCCAACGAGGGACAGTAGTCGCTCTGCCAACCTAGACATAGACAAGTACCCATCTCAGACATTGGAAATATCAGCGATAGAGAAAGCGTCGTAGCCATTACATCCTGATACTCTTTAAGAGCTTCATTCTAATTAAGGGAATTTATATACTCGGGCGTAGCAAACGAAACGCAAAAATTGCAGGATTTACTCTTTCATCCTTTTTCGCCCAATTCCACTTTAAACCATCTTTGCTTTTTCTTCACATTCGCGCTTTCTGATCCTAAACTTTTACATATATTTTCATTTCTCTTACTAGCAACCTTTTTAGTCTTTCGTAATATTTCTAAATTTATTGGCATTGATAAGCAAATTGCCTAATAAAAAGTGGATCGGATATTTCATCAATATTATCGCGAGCAAACATTAGCATTGCTAAAGTCCCGTTTACGCTTGATCTTCTTATAGAGAGTAATAGAATACTGGTAAGAGAATGATCAATCGTTTTGTGCACACTTGAGGCAATTACCCCAGATATGTTATAAAAGTTGTGCGTCAGATGTCTTCAACGAATTCTTTCCAAAATTAATGCAAGCTTTTTCTTCCAGACGCAAGTTCCACTAATAATGTCATACATATCACCGTGCTGGCCTTGTTGGTTTTTTGCATCTCTCCAAATTTCTTCTACTTAAAAGATGAAACCTATTTTCTTCTTCCGCTTTCCGTCTATTTATTGTTATTATAATTGCATAATAAAGTATCAGAAGTATCCGTGTAGACGGTACTGCTCGACCTGGAGCGCATCAAAGTATTATTACGTTTAAGGATGTTCTCGCTTCCTTCTTCGAAGAGATGAAAAGTGTAATCAGAGAAACAAACTTCTATGAGATATTTGAAACTATTATGTAAATTATTCAGCGATATGTGCTAAACTACGTAGGCATATCCCACATAACCATTACTTTTCACCCATGCTCTTGTTATTTATATTTACGCTACGCCTGCTATTAAATTGCGGAAAACTTTTATTGACCGCATGAACCAATTAATTGGCAATTATATGCAGCTTTGCAAACATAGAGCAATTCTCGCTATAGCAGTAACTATCCGAACAATACATGCAAGCGAACCAATAAATGCATGACAATGTAGCAAGTATCGTACATATCCTCTACCATGCAAAATATCCTCGACATGCAAACTATTTCATACATAATATGCATAATAATGAAAATGTCCCAACTTTTACAAATATGTAAAGAAAAACACAAGAGATTGTCTGATTGTGTTGGTGTTTATTCAAGTTCGGGTCAGGTTAAGACGACTCGATTCGTCCATATAAAGCTTCAAATTAATAATTATGCTTTCGTCAAGCATCATCTTTCCTAGTTTTCCGATGTATTCTCTGTAGGGATCCCGTACTGCAACGCTTCAATTATTGCAGTCGTCACGACCCCTCGACCACAAAGCCAACAGAAAGACCCACGCGTAGTGATTTAAATTGCTGTAAAACATATATGGTTGACAATTTAAATTAGATTTTAAATGCCAAGTGAGCAGATGCTGGCAAACGCCCAACCAGCGCTTACACTCATAGATACATATTGGAAATGTAATGACAATAAAGTTTCATTAAAAATCAGCGGTGTATCTATTATAAAGGATACAAGGCAATATAACTGCACATATACACGTATAATATATCTACAAATGAAAGGTAGCATTTTCGCATAGTTTAATAAGACAAGCGATACTCGCGTACCTTTTGCAAATTTATGAATTGAAGTGGGAGTTTAATCGACCAACGTACAGAACTCTGTTATTGCATGCGAGCACGTTCTTGCGGAATGCATACTACTAGTATAGGCAGAAAACTACAGAGATTCCTTCATCGTCCAAGTTCTTGCTTCAGTACGTGTTCGGCAATTGTAGGGAAACTGGGACCAGGACCAGGGATGATATGAAATTATTGATTGCTATCAAGTGCACAGTCATCTACGTCAGTCTTACAAAAAGCACTTTTTCATCATTCAAATGATCAGCTCACATATGAATTTGTCTTGAGTTTTGGTGAAACAGGTCGATCATTAGCGAAGATCAGCGAGTTTGAAATGGAAAATAGGTACGAAAGCAATTAACTGAGAAACGGCTTAACCCTGATCTTCTCTCGTACAATTGCGTATGTGTAGGTGCATTGGGGTTTTGTGAGTGACAATTGCTTTATAAATAAGACAGAAGGAAAGACATTTGTTAATTTGCTTTGAGGCGAATTTTCAAAGTGTTTTAAGCTCTTGTTAATGAAAACTCTATGCCGGTGCTACACCATTATTGCATAGGTAGAAAAACACAAGAAATTGTGTGATTGTGTTGCTGAAAATTCCATTTTTCATTCGAATTCGCTATACCACCCATTGATTTGTAAACAATTTCTCTACGACTCTCCCTCTTGCTCTTGTAAATGCATTTTCTGTCAATTTTTCCGCTTTCGGCTTTCTTTCTTCATATTTTATTATTATATATTATTTTATTTATCTACTTATTTACTAAACTAAACTAGCCTAAGATTACAAAAGATTCTAATTCCCAAAATAGTTGTTATTGTACTAAAACTGAGTGTCTCTTATAGTGCAATATGTTTTAACGATTATTGTCATTAAGACGTACCATGTAGAATAAATGCCATTCATATTATGTAGGATCATCAATGCTAACAGAATAAAACGTCTCGATAAAAATCATATTCGCAGCAGCCTGATGCGGTTCAAACAAATAAATAAATCTGCCATGGCACTTGAAAATGAAGCATGCAACCTGGGTTGAAAGAATCATATCAAATCTACAAATATTGACAGATGAGTTGGTTGTCATTGAGTTCTCTTGACGGAATATCATAATTAATGGACTCTTTTCCTTTGAAGTCGGCCACTATTAGAAAAATACTCAATTTCGTTGTTTTTCCTATAATCTTTTTAACGGATATATAGGACTTATATAAACATTAGTTTCTGTCATTCTCATTGCGTTACGCAAAAAACATTTTGTATGGATTTGTCATCATCTTACATTGTGTTTCAATTCCGTTTCGTTTTTGCAAGCAGACTTCATCTTTACAGTTGATTAATTTTTGACGGGATATGGCTTTGAGTAGCAAAATAACATCCACGTGCAGAAAACTATTTGTGTCACGTTTTTCGGTAAATACATGTAAACAATTAAGTTAATAACAGAGTACGATTGTTTTTATGAGAAATTTGCTATCTATAGAACTCTTTTATAAGTATTGCTCCAAAAAATATGGGATCGAAAGCTGAAAACCAATCCGGAGATGGTTGTGGAAGTAATTCAACTTCAACAATAGGTAGGTAATCAACAAATTTTGGAAAATGTTCGCCCGTTTTGGTATTAAAGTTGCTCAAGTAAACAAAAGGTACTCACAGCGGCACATTTCATTGTGATGAAGTTCTGGCGTGCTTCATGTTGAAACAATTGGCTGAATATGAAAACGCGGAGATATTGAGATCAAGAAACGATGAAGAACTGCAGAAGAAGTGCAGCATAATTGTTGATGTAGGTAATGTGTTTAATCATGAACGTAAATTGTATGACCATCACCAGGCATCATTTCAAGAAACTCTAAGTAGTCTACGTCCAGAGTTAGGTGATAAATATAAAATAAGGTAACACCTTTTCTCCCTTCAGCTTCCGACTTTAAAACTAACGTATTCTTTTTATAGATTAAGTAGTGCTGGCCTTATATATAATTACTACGGCGAACGTGTCATTGACAGTATTTTGAAGAAACATGGCATCGACTTGTCCGACGAAAATCTAAGATTGGCTTATATTCAAGTCTATCAGAATTTCATAAACGAAATTGATGCTATTGACAATGGTGTGCCTCTATGCCCCGACGGGCAAGAACCTTTGTACTTAATTGGCACTCATATTTCGGCCCGCGTAGGCAAACTCAATTTGTCTTGGGATGATGAAACGGGTGACTGTCAAGATGATCGGTTTCGTCAAGCCATGTGTGTCGTTGGCAATGAATTTGTAGAAAAAATTTTATATATCGGAAGATCTTGGATTAGGGCGCGGGAATATGTTCGAAACGCTTTAGAAAATGCTACGAAAGTTTACGAGAGTGGCGAAATCTTGTTATTAGAAAGGACTTGCCCGTGGAAACAACACTTATTTGACTTGGAACAGGAATGCGATATTGAGGGCAGATCAAAGTTAGTAATCTTTGAGGATCCTCTAGACAAAAGTTGGAGAGTAGCGGGCGTTCCGGTTACGCCCCAAAGTTTTTTGGGTCGCCAATTTTTACCTAAAGAATGGTGTGGACTTAGAAACGACGATCTCTTCCAAGCCGCGGGTGTGAAAGATTTACTGTTTGTTCATAGCACCGGTTTTATAGGCGGCGCAAAGAACAAGGAAGCCGCTTTAGCAATGGCTATTAAGAGCTTGCAATGGCCAAGAAACAATGAAACAAAAGAAAAAAAATGTTGATCGATATTGAGGAAAAAAAGTTTTCTTTTTTAAAGGACATGGATGCAGAGTGAATAAAACGTTCAAAATTTTTATAGAAAACGTGACGAGTGAAATTTATTTTCTTTCGATGAATCGTAAGGTTTTCTTTAGTCTTGAACTTTGAAATGTAACGGCCGTTATCATCATCATTCTCGTACCTTTGCCTCTCAAAAAAAAAAATACTAAAAATTTATATGTGCTTTCTGGAAGCTTAACAATTGACTATGACCAGCTGGTATAGGGTACAGAAAATTGTCCAATATTATATCCACAATAGCGCCGTTTCCCACTGAAAAATATATTTTCTTTTTTAACTTTAATAACTAGACAAAATTGTCTCATTTAAAGAGTAATCAGTAGTGGAAACTATCTTCAAAACGACTACAACAATTTTTGTCGTTCAAACATTTTGCAATATATGCCCTGCAAGTATCGAATCATTATTACGCAAGTCAATCGCCCGCAATGCGTGTTATATTTTGCACGATGTACGACATGTCAGAGCAAACATTTTGCAATATATGCCCTGCAAGTATCGAATCATTATTACGCAAGTCAATCGCCCGCAATGCGTGTTATATTTTGCACGATGTACGACATGTCAGAGCAAACGTTTTCGCATAGCCACGCGAGAGGCATGTCTGAATTAATATATTAATTATATATTGTTAATCTGAAATTAAATTGAAATAAATAATTAAGTTATAAATGGCAATCATTAAAGATATATGCAAACTTACCATTGGAACGCAACGAGTATTGCGAGGAGGGTGGAGATGGCGCGCAGAGGAACTTAGGCCCACGTTAAGTTTGTGTCTATTTTCTCTCTGAAATTTGTTCCGGACAGTAATGTTATCAGCAGGAACCCGAGCAAGTTCCTTCGGTGCAGCTCACTTCTGCTGCATAATCCTGGTCTTCGGAAAAAGGGAACTCGTTCTATTACCGTTGCTTGTAGCCGCATGCCTATTTTTTTGCCGTCATGTACTGCCTAATTGTCGCGTAGAAAATTTTGTACGCTCTTTGGAAAGCTTCATTGACTTCTTCGGTTGGTAAATCTGGTTTCAAATATTTTGAAACCCACGTCAGACTATTCAGCTTATTCCTGGCAATCTTGCGACCTTGTTTCAAATAACAGAAGGTGTCTTCGTTCATCGTGAACTCTTGTAGGCATTCCTCGCAATGCAGCTGCTCACGAATGTAGCGTGCTATACCATATCCTGTGAGCAGCCTCAGGGACTCTTCAAGTTTGCGGCTCAGCGGCTGAGTGATTAGATTTTCGAATATGTCACCGTCAGGGGCGAACGGTTCAAATTCGTCATCTTCATTGGCCGGCGCTTCAAGCTCGTACAGTAGTTTTTCAATGAGGAGGTAATCGTCCTTCTGCCCAGCATTCCTCCTGTACGTTTCTCAGCCTTGCGACCAGCGCCATTATGTCTGTAGATGATCGGGACCTTCTGTTGCTATTTCTGGCTGCAATGTTGCTGAAAAATCTTTCCAACAGATCTTGGCTTACAATTCGTTTTTCACAGTTTTTAGACAATTTTTAAATACTTCTTATGAGAATACTTCTTATGAGATTTCACAATGAAGATAGGAAATGTATTTTTTCCTAACCTCAAATCGTATTTAAATTATCTAAATTTTTCGCTCGCACAGAGTCGTATTTGAGGATTTGCATTATCTAAATTTTTCGCACGCACAGAGTCGTATTTGAATATTTCAATTTTGTTTTGCATAAATTTAATTTTTTTAAACCAATGATAACATTTAAATAATACTCGAAAATTAGAAATCATTTCTCAGTTTTTAAGTCATTTAAAAATGGACGAAAGGGGAACATCCATATATATTCAAACAAATGGTTTGGTTGAAATGTAATATATAATCTTTTTTATATAAATGTATCAAAAATATGCATTCATCTCCCCTTGTACATCTCCTGAATAGTTTTATACAATAGATGTCGAACATGTTGCGTGCGCTCTTCCTCTTTTTGGAAGTGAACCAATCAATTGAACACTCGGATCTTACATTTTTTGCCTTATACCACTGTTCTATTTTTAACATTTCAATGAATCTGTACGTTACTTACAAGTGAACTTAATACAATTAAAAGGAAATATTACAATTAAATTAAAATTAAAGATAATCTCTTCTCCCCAAGCATGATATCTATTAAAAATATGTGTTGTTTTGGATTCGACTAGAGAAACATATCAATTAAAGGAGGAATGCAAGTCCTTCGTAAAGAAATATACTTAACAGACTTTTTTTAATTATGTTTCAGAGCAAAGATTGTTCCAGCATAATACGTTCGAAGCCAGCAAGCAGTTTGGATTCAAAGTAGGTTTTATTTGGTCATGCTATAGACGGTTTCGATGCTTTGGATGAACTGAAAAAATTGCCGGTTAATCCGAGGACACATCGTCCTCATCGGCAGAAGATAATAAATAGGGTTACTATACTTTCAAACCTATTATGTACTTTGAGTTGTTTGTCAAAAGTATACGATATTGGATGAAGAACTACAGGAAGAATGACTGAATGACTAAATTGGTAAAGTGGTCGATGTACTGTGAAATCTTTTAAGTCGTCAACCAATTGTGGTGTGAAACAATGTAATAGCGTTGTCACAAAAGCAAGAAACGATGCATGCAGGAAACAATCGAAAGCCTCAGATCTATGTAGAAAACATTTAGTAAATTTTGAAAATTCAGTTAGCTTCTGCTATATCTTTTGACCGAATGTTTTTGTTTGCAACGCACTCTATTATTGAATTATTCGGATCGGATTTTCTTTGTATATAGTTTACACCATATTAAATGAATGGAGCTTCGCTCTACTTAGAGACTCTACATCTGCCTTGTAGCGCGGAAATATCATGGGTCATGAAGCTGTATCTCTGTATTCCAAGCAAACTGTATGTTTTTTAAGGCGTTCTTCTCTTTTCAGCGATTATAAGGGACCTAATTTGCGGCCATTGAAATTCGTGGTAATCAAGGTGCGGGAAGGTAATGTCACCGATAGAAAATTGTATTCATTCCTTCGCTACAGAATACGCAAGTATTGGTCGAAAATATCTATGTGGGCCTTCGTAATGACAGAGGTTTCGTGCAAAAGATTGAATGCATGGAAACTAGCTCATTGCCTTAGCTAAACAATGTAAGCAATGAAAACACTATGCTCACTATTCCGTAATCCCTGTTAATATCACAACAAGAATTTTTCTAGCAATGTTTTTGGCCACCATCGGTTTGCTTCAATTTTTTGAAGCAGTTTTTTCTCACTTTGAAAAGTCCCCTTGGTAGTAGTTAAGAGAGCCTAACCAACATCGAGGAAGCAATAATACACATGAATTTTCTCTTAAAAAAAAATTTCTTATATGGTGTGGTAATTATTATTTTTTCATTAATTTCTTAAGTAAAAAAAAAAAATTTTCAATAGCCAACAAGAAAAGGTTACGTTTCATCGACGTGAGCGTATATAGAATACTTAAGGACATCTTGATCGTTGTGGTATAGAAAGCCCTCGATTCGATAATAGCCGGGACGTAAGAATTTCTGCATTTTACTAGAATCTAAAGGGTAGTCTTTAATAACATAAGTCTCCTTCACAATAGGACATGCATCAGGATCGGGGGCATTTGCGTGTTCCTTAAGTGATTCGTAGAAGTAGTTCTTATACTGCTTTTGCATCAACTCGCATATGCCCTTCTTAGGTAGAGTCATAATTTTCTTATATTCACCCTCGGGTTCATCGGCATGATGAATGATAATAAGAGACTATAAGAAGGACATTTTTAAGAAAATCAATTCGGTTTTTTTTTTAAGTTTTTTGCAAACCTTGTAGTTATTATCCAAATCTACCAGTTGCTCCATTTGGCCGTTAACTAATACTTCGCTGTCCACCTTATCGAAAGTCAGATCGGTTTTTACAATATGTTCTGCCTCCTTTTCCTTAACCAATTTGTCTAAGACAACCTTGTAAGGCGGCTTATCATCTTCGGCGCGCAAATAAATGGAATTTTTTAAGATTAATAGAAGAATTACCGAAAACGCAGGTATTTTGCTAGTCATGTTAATGAGCAGCTTCTGTGGAGTGCTAACGTAAACTAAAATCAATCTGTTGACCGCAACCTTTTCTAATGTCCCCTGAATTTTTATAAGAGGAAACTTAGCATGCACTACCAATAGAGATGAATAGATAGTATTCAACATTAAACGGATGTAATGAAAAATATTTGTGTTTATTTTTTCAAAGAATACAATTAAATATTTAAAAACAAGTAAGTCCACCATAGAGTGGCACGGTCCACCGTTCAATGCCTTACATCACCTTATTCATATAGCAACTCTTCAAATAGCTCGTTATATGGCCTGTGATCGAAAAAGTGAATCGATCCGAACCGATTTCGATGGCGCTAGTTAGTCTTTGGGCCAAAACACATCGGTATACGAAATTTCATCAGAATATCGACCAAATGGCGGCTTGCAGTTTGAACGCAGGAAAGCGAGGGAGGCAGACAAACAAGCTTAAATCGATGCAACAAGTGATTCTGCATCGATCGAAGTCTTTCGGGTGTTGCATACTTCCGCACAAACTTAATATATCCTTGTAGCACAAATGGGTATAGGGTACAATAACAAATGTAGATTTTGTTTAAAAACAAATATCAGCGGAATCCTAAATGCTTTAGCGACCATACTTTACAACATCTTTCTTCCATTCTACGAAAGCAACAGAAGAAAGGACACTATTGCCTTGTTCAAGGCTTTACCTTTTGTTTGCTGTTGGTTTTTTCTATAACCAGCCGCCTATGCGTGCGAGTAGAGAGGGGTGAGAAAGGCCTGGTAGGTCCAAAGGCGGGTAGTGTAGTTCAAAAACGGCCGGCGTGGTGTGTTTTACGGTATACAGGATGAATGGATGGGAACGCCGAGAAAGTCGTATAACGTAGTTAAAGGGCTTAATTGGTGGACAAATCGCTTTTATCTCGGTAGAATCCCTGCCGTGGATTTACATATACATAAGCACAACACAGCACATAACAGAGAGTATTTCAATAAAAGTTCTATTAAATGAGTTGACAAGCCAATGTTCGGACTAGTGGTCGAATTATTTTTCTTTCCATGTAGTTGCTATGAAAACATTAAAAATGTAGAGAATTTTTTATTGTTTGAGAAACACTGTACTTTGTTTGTATATGCATTATCGGAAAATCGAATTAAAAAACGTACATTTGTACGAATGGCACTTGGCGTGTCGTTAAAGACTGTTTCCAATTATTTCCTGTGCATATGTAAATATACATAATCTTTTATAATGAACTTTCCAATCATATGAATCCAAATTGGCCGATCGCTTATCTGTACACTTTCATAGGTTTTTCAACATATTCTTGAAAATTGTTTCGCAGCGCTATCTTGTCTCACTAAATCCTAGTTCCCCGATCCTATACTCATATCTATATGCATATAAATATATATATTTTTGTTTCACATAAAAGCTATAGTGCGGAACAGTTTCTTTCGAATAATATAAGAAATGAAATATAACGAAAAGTGCTATTCATAATTCAAAATCATAAATTTTTAAATATTTTAAATTAAAGTTGAATTTATTCTTATTATTGAATTGAGTTGTCATGCCCATTACACACTTAAAAAAAAAAAAAAAAAAAAATCCCGCAATAATTAATTCTATAACAAAGAAACATAAATTCTCTTCTATTAATAATAAAAAGTAATTATTTTGAGCTTGAAGCTAAGCATAATTTGGATAAATTCTTACACAATAATGTTACAGCTTGAACTTAAAAAAATCATTATTTTTCTCCATTTTCTTTATAAATCGCTTTTATAAACTTTTATTTATCTAAATTAATGTGGTTTTCATTAATATTATTAAGGCGTCTTTACTTTTAAAGTCAATTAATTATCCATCGTATTAAACAAAACTAAACAAATTCTAAATGCAAAATCAAATAAACAATAAATTAAATGTTAAGTAATTTTTCTTAGAAAACTTTGCATATAAACCAAAAAAAAATCGTTCGAAAAACTTTGTCTTTGAAAATGTATTTTATATAGTATAATAGGCTCGAAAAACTACGCATGTGATTCATTAGCATCAGCAACCCCAACAAGATTTGCTATACTGGGTTCCGATTCGGAACGCTTATGGGAACGTCTAGTAGCTCCTTTAGGATTGTTATGCGTATCTTCGTCCCTTTGATTATCGTTTACAACGGAAGCGGAAGTGTTCTGTTGCAAATCCGGTTCGCTACGATATATATTCTCCTCATCTGCAAAGCTTCCTGTATTCGTAGGATTCGCTTCTAAGACATGTTCATTAAGACGAACGTCGTCCAAATCGACATCGCTATTGGAAAACAAAGCAGTAGCTCCCAGCTCTAAAGAGCTCTTCACATCCAATTCCAGATCGTTGTGCGTAATGTGAGTGGTGGCGTTCGAAGAGTTGGCACCGATTGAATTACCATTTGTTACTTCTTTAGAATTTACGAGAAAACTAGTTGCATTTTTTTTTTCTTTCGGAGTCGAAGTAATACTAGGGGTTAAATTCAATGTTTCACTAGGACCGATTGTTATGGAACGTTGTAAAGGAATATTATAGGCGGGATGTATGGGTGATGTAGCACCATCTAAACGTTTGCGACTTATTGATGGCGAAGATGGTAAAGTAGTTACGCCGAAAAAATTTAATTTATCCGGTCCAACCGATGCCGTACCCGTACCTGCTGTCGTAGAGCTTGGAGTAGAGCTGTTGCACTTTTCATCTTGATGTTCCTTCATCAATTTGCATGCCTTACCCAAAGCACAAATTGTCAAACAGATACGTAAACCCAAGACAAAACCAAAAGCCAAAGCAAATAGAATCCAAGCTGCGCAATTTTTAAACGAAACAGCCGAATAAATCGCTTTAATTAATACTACACCCAATGGGAAAGGGATAAAACCCATGCGTCGCGCTACAAGATCGGAATGATCTGAAAATGCATGCTTCTGTCGTGTCTGCGTCATATCATATGCCAAACTGGTAGTGTATTCTCGATAAATGTACTCAGGCAATTCGTTAAATCGCGTTATAAACGCGTGTTTAATCCAGTCTATGAGAATTTCGGTAATTAAGACTGCAAAACAATCGGGAAGCATAACGCAGAATTGCGTGAAACTCCAGTCGAATTCCTTCATTGTTTGAATCATCACAATAAAAAGTAAAACAGATAAGTGGAAACGTTCACGCACATCGCTGCAAGTTAGCTGGAACAAATTATTCTTATCGAATTTTTTGAATACTGAACCTTTAAGCTCGACAAAGTTGTTGCTCATCATAATGGTGAGCAAGCCCTTATTATTCGAATTCACCGCTACATTCAAGGTAGTGGCCTAGAAATGAATATGCTTATAAATAATAAGACAACATATGCGTTTTTGCCACTTGCCTGAAACATTATTAAAAAACTATGCAGTCCCACGTAAATCAAAGCAAATATTATGTGAGTAATTAAGCCGAAATGTTCTCTTTTTGAGTTTTTCGGCTCCGTAGCTGTCCAAAATAAAGCATCTATAGTATCTTGACCAAAGGCGGACAATAAACGATCACCGACTTCCAACATATTGTAGAAAATGTATAATTTGATAATCGATTGCGATTTGATAATATGATAGACTCGATTCGTGTCCACTGAGAGCATTAATAAGGTTACCGTTAACCATATAGCACATTTCAATAGATCGCATATCTCTGCCGGAGTCAAAAGTTGTGTACGCCTTCTTAAACCTAAGCAGTTAGCTATTGGACGGGTTAGCAAAGCCCATGCAGCCAAAGTGAAACGCACCGGCAGAAAGGTATGTATATATAAAAACGAATCAGCACACTGCATGATACCGTAAACCATGAAACGTTCCAAATCACGTGGTATTCGCATGAATGAATAAATTTTTTTACGCCTTGCGGTATAACGTTCTTTACAGCCATTAATCCCACACAATGTTAAAAAAGTTTGGAATAGAAAATATTTGAAAAGTATAGCATACGACCGAAAAGTATAGCATACCTTCATCATGTTCCAGCAGATAACCCCTTGTCAATTCCACCTTGAAAAAATCCATAAACGAAGGGAATTCTAAAATGAAGCCAGATAACGTGATTGCTTATACGAGAAATGTACACTGCAGTACCTCCTCCTTGCTTTCTCTTTTTATTCGATTCATTAATCAGCGCTTGAGAATTAATCGCATGATTGTTGTCGGTGTCTAACTCCTCATGGGCTCCACTGAATTCGTCTATGCGATTCTGGAAATTTGTTTCGCCACGAAACCGTAGTTTCTTTTTTGGCGCTGGAAGTAAGGATTCCATGTCTTTGTTGTTGCGTTGCATCATTTCTGCGCTTTTAAACGATCTTTATTTAGTTTTTCTTTTGGATAAACAAAATTAACTGAGGTTTAGTGTGCATTTTTGTGCTAATTTGTTTTTGGCGTTCCTACGTTTTATGACTTTCTTCCTATGAGGTAAAATCTCAATTCACAATAACGCAATTAAGAGTAAGTGAGATAAATGCATTGCTTTAAGAATTACAAATGTAAAGAAATGGAAATTAGAAATGCATAGGAAAGGAGAAGACATGAAACAGCTGCTGCTATTGAAATTCGCACATCAAGCAAACCAATAAAAATATTAAAAAACATAAAATTATTTCATTGAATTGTGAATTGCTTCAGTTAAAATAAAAGAACTGAGATATTGGCAACTCTGTACGAACTGTCAGCAAAACTAGTAGTGTTTAAAGTGTGAAAGTAAAATGAGTTTTTTTTTTCGGGTGTTTATATATTTATTTATTTTATTTATTTATTAACAAATGATGATAAATAACAATTAATTAACTTCGGAGAAAAAGGCAGATGAGTAGTTATAAATAAATTGTCAACACTTCTTTTGCATTGATGACTAAGATATTATTTAAGCATGAAAAACGTTAAGTTTTGTTCGTAAAGCGAAAATCTTCGCAATTGACCTTAAAAATTATTTGATAATTCAGAAAACTGCAACGAAAGAACGTGAAGGAAAGGTCATAACTCGGAGAGATTATAAATTTGATGCCGTCCAATAATTTCTTGGATAAACTGATGCATCTAATTTTAGAAAAGTATATATATGCCCCCATAAGAAAGAGAACTCAGTCTCTTAAAATCGGAAATGTTGCCAAAAAATGATCCGCTCCAACAACAACAAGAATTTTCTACCATTGATAAGGAAAAACATGAGCAAGGAAAACAAGCGTCGCCAATAACAACAAAAGCAAACGAACCATCTGTTACAAATGTAAATAATAACACAGCTGATTGTAGTAAACAAATAAGAAATGGTGACGTGAACGAAGAGCTGGTTGAAGAAGATAAAAATGAAGAGGAAACATTGTTGCAGTCTTTACAAAGGGGAATAACGTTGAACGATGTTAAATTTACGGAAGAGATATCAGTAATTACTTCCAGTCAGAATTCGGACGATGAAGAATCTTCTTTGATTATGGCGGGATTTGAGCGCCCTTTTTCTGCTCCTCTCGCACCTTTAGATAACGAATTAATGGAACGTTTAAGACGTGAGCACGATGCGAAACGTAGGTCTAAAGAGGGAAAAAAGATAGAAAAAAAACCCTCTTTGTTGGCGAGAGCTAATCGCATGAGCGGCGGTGACGGAACTGGCGATTCTGTGGCAATGTTTGTGGAAAATGAACGTATGAACACTCATGCCGGCTACGTAAGACCTTCAGTGCATAGAACTGGTAGAGCTGAGAAAAAAGCCACCAGAGATCTAATAGGGAGTTGTGAGTGTATCACGGCAGAGAGACGTTGGAGCGACAGTGCCGCGGCTGACTCAGCTTCTGTGACTCAAACAAATTTGAGGTAAGTAAAACTAACACATATATTAATACATGTAACGATGTACGAGTAATAAATGGAAAGAGAAATACTGAACTTTGAGAGCAATTTAAAGTCCAGCTTGCATAATATAATGTGTTTAGTTTTATTTCGTACAGGGTGCTTGACATAAATGACGACGAAGAAGCAAAGATATGCAAATCTAACCTAGCATGCCTAGAAAGTATCAAATAGAAGCAATATAAAAGAAAACGTGTATGATCAAAAAGCACTCTAATTTTTTCTTAACTATAACCACCCATTTTCATCTAAGCCGTCTCTCTATTTTACATATACATTTGCTGAGATGAATATGTATGCTATGAATTTTGTGGTAAAGGAATGCAAAAAGGAATATTTGCATCAATTGAAGGCCTTTGAAGAGTTTCAAAGCGAGCAGGTGCACACAGTGAGAAAGCTCCGGCAAAACATTAGCAAAAAATTAATTTAAAAATGAATTGAATTCGCCCTTAACCTCGCTGATAAGCACCCGGTATATTGCTCCGCATCAGAATGTGTACTAACAATGTGTTCGCTCAAATGCTGAGCAGCAGCTGATCTTCAATATTATGCTTTGTACCTATTGTACAAATTATTGTATTTAACATTTTATTAATTGAAGCAATATACATAATAACATAATAATTCGTTAAAATCTTACTAAGGCAAGCAAGCAAGATGAAGAGATGGCGGATTTCTGTTCTCCGAAATTCTTTTGTTCTTTTCGTTATTTCAGTTTTCTTTCTTTTTATTTTTTGTTTCTCATAACTTGCAGTCTGCCTGTTCAGTCTTTCTTCAGCCTCAACAATATGCTGAGCTGGCGACATTCGCGTCCGTTCAGTGTTTTAATTGAAAGCGAAGGTATCGAGACGTGTGTGTCGTTTACGAGAAGACGACAAGAAAACATTTACTAAAAATAAAAAAACAAATCCTTTAAATCTTTTTAACAAATATTAAGAAAAATAATAAGACGGGGATTAAAAAAAGAATCCACGCAGATTGGCCATTAGATTGAACGAAATTTAAAGAAAGTTCATTTTTACATAATTATTTCCCGTTAAACAAAAACCTCTGGCTGCTGTCGTTTTAATGATTCATTTCGTTTAAATATTTTCGAGAATTTTTACGGAGAATTTTTATTAACTTAGAAAATCTATGAAGCAAGTGATAATTTCATTTCTTTCATGTGTGTGTTGCACGATACCTTAATTTAAAGGAAAAATGTCAATAACGTGTTCTTCATATTAACGTATTAGTGATTTTTAATTTCTATTTATCCAACCCGGGTAATTATAAATATACTCGCGATTCTTCAAAGATCTCTTGCAAATGTCTATTATATGCTTATTAACCGTCGTTATTGCATTGTGTGGTCAATAAATTATTTCGAAAATTTGGTTTATATTGTTTATAATAAACAACGAAAGCGAAAACATGTAAACTATATTTCTCGGTTAAGCTCTGCCGCGATATTCTCTTATATTCTCATTTCTTTGTATTTTTCTGTCAAAGTATGGATTCTTTGTTTATTTTCTAGCTAACAGTGGGAAGCATGCAAGTTTCATCGTTCGTCAAGGTCCCTCAGCAACAACTTATATATATATATATATATATATGCATACCTTTCTGTTGATATGACTCTTTCAGTATCCATCTACTTTACGCTGACAGTAGAACTAGGGAAACTCTGTGCAAGGCCTGCAAGAGAGAGAGTTAATGCTTACTTAAAATAGGTCCATGAGTCATAACACAAAACAAGATATTTGGCGAAAATTTCGCTGAAGTTTTGATTTAAATAATTACAAATCCATCCTTGTGTTCTTTAAAGAAAGCATGTTGGCCAAGAAACCTTGACATTTCGGCTCACTACTTCTCGTTAAACAGGTCTCTCGAGTTCTATCCCTCCATTAATAAAAACAAGCTTTGTTTACGAACCCAATCGATCATTTTATTTACTTTGCAACATATAATAAGAAAACAATTAACACTTGACGTGTGCGATTGTTAATGATTGCGAACAAAACCCTTGAATGTGGAGCGAATGACGAGGTTCGTGGACGGGAGGCAGCAGTTTGTTAGGCATCCACACTCCTTGCATTATTAGCTGTTGTGTGGTCAATTCAAAATGCTTTTGATCAATATTGCTTCAATCATTCCCCGAAAACGCCTGCAAAGTGTCCAAGCGAGCAAGGAACAATAAGCCTCAACTTCTCTTACGCAGCAATTTTCGTAACATACGGTAACTACGCTTTGTCAATCCGATATCCGTGTAACGAGTTAGAAGACTTTCTTTGCACATGACTAGTGAAATAGTGCGGCACTTAATGTGGCTATGTATGTGTGTTAAGCATGTTTCATAAAAGAGCTCTTTTTAAAATAAGAAACACTTACATGCATTTAAAGATCTCGTCAGATGTAAAACCCAGTCACTACGTACGACGTGCTTGCTTGCGTATCTACCTTTCTTATTACAGAACAAATGAACCTTCGCGTGTGTGACGAAATTCGCAAGAGAAAGCTGTTTGTTCCAATATGCTTTTTTTGCAATAACATCATTGCATACGCGAGGCTACGAAAAGCATCTCAATTTGACCAAACATCACCTAATAATGGAAAATCAACTGAGTGCTAGTATGCTCCTCACTCCGTTCCCCGATTTCGATTCTCCCTTTTTGTTCTTTTCCACAACTGGTTATAACTTCGCTTCTCCTTCTTGACTCACTTCTGGTACTTGCAAAGAAGGACGGGATAGTCTTCTATGTTCGATTTGTTAAAGTCCAAGTTTCTTTTTTCTTCGTTTGTAGCGATAGATCCATCTTTTGAAGAAATAGTTTCGATGGCCAGACATTAGCTTTAGTCCAGAAGACAACGCAAAATTTGTTATGTTCTTCGTCTTGTTCTCTTGAGCCCTTCCTTCCTTCGAATTCTTACAAATTTTTTTTGTTTAGAAATTTTCTCGTGAATGGAAGAAAAACATATCTTTCAGATTTTCAATTTACCCGTTTCTTCGCGGATCCCTTTCTTCGCCTGGACCTTTTGTTTGCCAAGGAATTTTCCTTTTGCTTTCGAGACTTTTTTGTTTGCCTTCGCTACTCTTTCAGTTCTTTTCTTCGGCAAGCTACTGAAACCGAATGAAAGGGAGTTGGGAGTAGGAAACCGGAACCGAGAATATCGTCACTGTTATCTCCTAAAAAAAATCAAAAAAAATCCTAAGGTTTTGATGAAAATTTGCCCTTGTTTTCTTCTACTACCTTTATAACGTGATGTTTGCTGCTCTTTTTCTAATAAACTGATTTTTTTTTCAAAATTTT